TGGACCTTAAATGGAAAAAGAAAAACAATTAAAAAAAAAAATCACATATTTTATTACAAACTGTAGTTCTGCACTCCACCAGTAGGTGGCGACAGGTTCACATGGAGCCTCATGAACTGTGGGGATCGTTGAAGCAAATTTGGCCAAACGGTTCAATGCCTCATGAGGCTTAATTTCACATTCACTACTTGAGAAAAACGATCCGTCACATCGGGTGACATCACCCGTCACCCCAACGCGGAGCAGCATCTGACCGTTTCCTCCGAAAAACACATTAAAAGCCCAGATTACCACTCACAAAATGGCGGTTTCGTGTTGTTTTCACACAGTACTGGAGCCCATTTCGGCTTTATGATCCTTATCCTTTCGTCATATAGAAATGTGCCTAAACTGCATTCCACATAACATCCAGACCTAACCAGTGTAGCAGAACCTACCAGCCTGCAGGATGTTGGCATCCGGAAAGTATCCCTTCTCCTCTTCTTTAATCGTTTCTGAAATGTCCCCCATAGCTGCACTCTGCGCCCGCAGGAGCTGCTGTGTCTCTTCAGAAGTTACAGTTTTTACACTTATTGCGCTCAGATGTTCCATCCTACGAGAGGAGTTTCTAAAATGGAGAAATGTTTATCTGGTGGCGTCTTCTTCTGCTTCTGCTTCTTCTTCTTGAAAAGCTGTATAACGGTTGGCAAACTAGTTAAAGTGTATTACCGCCACCTACTGAAAAGGAGTTAAACCAGGAAACAAGACTCACATCCAGAAAAAAAACAACATAAATAATAATAATAAAATGAAATTAATAAATAATTACTAGTTTTCCAAATTGTATATTTTAACCCAATATAATGAAATACATAATGAAATTCGTCCTCATAATTTCTAATTTGTTTTCATGCTAATGTCACTCTGCCGGTTTCTGATGGTCCTATTAGTTTTCCCATCATATTTTAAATTTCTCACTTCAAGGTACTTTCCCGCAGCTTTCACTATTATTTTTAGTTTTTCAGTTTTCTTTGTCGTTTGAACACAGCAATTGATAATTTCTACCATGAAAAGAACAAAATCCTTCTTTTTAACAATCAATGAATCTTCTGCAATTTTGGGACACTCCTCCAGAGGGTTTGACCTTGTCCTTTGAGCAACTGTTCTGACTGGGATGGGATTATTTTTGCAGCATAAGTTATTATGAGCTGCAATTTCTCTATTCTTATCTCTTCAGATCTCTTGCTTACTTCACAACCTCAATATGCAGCAGTATGTTCTCCATCACAGTTACATTTCATTTTTATTTCTTTGCCCAACTTTCCATATTAATTCTCTTCAGCACGTTGTTTGCCTTTGCCTACAGCTGTTATATGACCAAATCTTTGGCATTTGAAACCTGAGGTACATATTCCAAGTTATCATTTTATACCATCAGCCATGTCAATATTTTGGAATACATTTACAAAAGATCTCATATTTGACAATATATGTATAATTGGAAATATACTCAAATCATTTTGTATTTCTGTAAAATTTTGGATTAATTAAGTACTCGTTTTTTAATAAAATTGCCAATAAATATCAATTAGCTTCTTTTTTTTTTTTTTTTACAAGCATCTTGCTTACAGACCAGAAAAGCAGGAACATGTGTTTAGTAAACGTTTTTAATTTCTTTAATTTATTTAAGTGGGAAGGAAACTGAAAACCCACATATGGACTGGGATAGGGGAAAGCCTGCAGTCTGGTGCAAAGGCTTACTCAGGATGAAGTTTAGAAGAAAAATCAAGAGCTGAATCACTCAGGGGATGTTTTGGTGATAAACCTCTGTTGCTTTGATAACCGGGATTATAATAGGGAATAAAATATGTTGTGTAAACGCACACAAAGAACAATAACTGTTTCACTAGCAAGGACCACACCAAAAGTTAATATGAGTTTATAGGTGTATTGACTGAATGCTGGATGAAGGGACAAGGGTATAAAGGATGAAGGGAGGGAGGGATGGAAGGGGTTGGGGGTCACTGACTTCTGAGGAGTAAACAGAGGGCGTGAAGATCTCATTTTGGGGGTTTGAACTTAATTTAACCTATTAACTCTATTTAATTTTCCAGTACGGCTGCTTACGTTGTTTTCTTTTTGGGCCATGAAGGCAAAACTAGTTTATGTTACAGAAAAATGTCTCTACTCTCTTCCAAAAATTCTTGTGGATGTTAACCTTAACTAGCTGCGAGGAATCATCGAAGCTTGTTAAGGTTTTGATATCTTGGATTGGGGATATTTTGTCTTTAGATCCTTTTGAAAGCAGTTCCTCAGTATTGTGTTATTATTTATCACCATACAACTGGAACTGGGTGGCCATGCCTGTTTCTGATCAGAGAGACTAACTGATGCCGGTAATCTTTTGTGGAGCAGGGATGACAACCAGCACTGCATAAATGCAGAATCAACTGAAAATCCCTTATTTCCTCTACAGAAAATACAGAGCAGCTGTAACTTAAATCAGCTAAATTTAGTTATAGAGTATTTCTTTGATTTCACCACCTTGTTGGTACTAGTCATTATTGACGTTCTCTTAAGTCAATTTGTCAATATTTTCGCATGATGATCACTTAAGTCAGCTGAATGTACAGAACGATCATGTATAACTTTGACAGTGGGATATTAGAGATTTAGAATTGTTCATTATTTTCACAACATTTTGTTGTGATTCTTGTTTCCTTCTTTTCTGCACTGATCACTGTCTCTTCTTAGATCAGAGGTTTTAGAGGAGAGTCGGGATGTCACAGTAGGGAATTCTGTGTATAAACCGGACCAAATGTCGGGGTATCTTTGAGAAGAGGGGGTCCTGCTGCAGAAACCTGATGAGGTCCTGTTATATAAATACATCATCCCTTCTGGTCATTTTCCAGTCTCAGCATTAAAGAAATTACCTCTGGGTGGGGCATAGTTGTCTGTAGTGCTGCCAGAAGAGCAGCTTTGTGTTTCACAGCTATAGGTCAAAAATTCATCAAAGTTGTATATAATTTCTTTGGGATATAATGATGAGGGTCATTACCTTTCTGCCATCAAAAATGTGTGATTTCTTATCGCCTCATAGGCCTCAAGAACGTGAGAACTGTTGACAAATGATTCATGGTAATATAGCTGTGTTTAAGTGCAGCTGCTGATGTAATGCGTTTGTGTGGTGTAGGAACTAGCATTAGTTTTAGAAGATCGATGAAACTTAGTAAATCCTCCCTTTCAATGGGTTCCTATGTTGCTGGTTGGACTTTGAGCAGGTGATCCGAAGACTTCAACTTCAACAGTGGATCATACTCTTTGAATTCATTTTCACAAGAAGAGGAAGAATTGTAACTACAATTATAACTGCATTTTGGATGGGCATTATTAAAATTAGGATATCAGAAATTCTAATTTAACTAGTCATAAAATAAGTAGTTGATATCTTTAATAACATTTCTATTAGCAGAAATATATTTTTGATGCCATGAATTGGATTTCTAGATATCTGTAAAATTTAATAAATTTTTGATATCTGAAATTGTCATTATGACTAGCAGTATGGAGTATTATGGAGCAGTATTATGAAGGTCTGAAATTAGAGTTCATCCTCGTCAGAATTTTAGATAGGAATAATGTTATTTTAAATATCTGGAAGTAAAAGCCCACTAGTGAGAAACGTAAAGTCATTTTACTTGTAAAAATTGCATTTCGGATATCTGAAATCTTCATTTTGACTAGGAAGAAATGCATTTGAGACATCTGGATTACATACTCAATCAAGCTAATAAATGTCAAAACAGCCTGCCATATTCTACTACTCAGCAGCCAGTGGGAAATAAGCGATGAGCAACAGCTCAAATTGAACAAGTAGCTGAATTGCTCATATTCACTTGACATCAACAAGTAGTTGACGTAAATTTGACAAGTTGCCAATGCGTACTTAACGTATAGTAAATGCTTTCTTAACACGTCAACTACATGTGACAGATCGAAAGGTGAAGACAACACGCAAAATACGTGTAATTGACGTGTTGTCTACGTGTCAGAAATCAAGAGTAAATGAACCATTTGGCTTTCCATACATCGCCACTGAGTAACCAGCAGCAGGAAGAGGGGCTTGTTTACAGTCAGCCTGTGTTGTTTCAAGTGTTTTTCTCTGTGTTTTAGATTTAGATATCAAAAACTATTAACACTAGTAAAACAGTTATGTTTGTATGACCAAGGTTACAGCAGATGTGTGTCTTATTTGCTTTTCTTCTGCTTTTCTCCTCATGAAAGGCTTTGTTTTGCATGTCTACCCTCATAAACATCTGCTTTGGCAATAAAAGTAAACTTTGGATGACATATCTGCACTAAATTTGATTGAAAAATATTCTGTTATGTTAATGTACTGTGATGGCTGTAACTCAATAAATCATTTAAAATAAAATGTCTTTGTTCAATTTTGTTTTTTATGGGAATAATATTTATTAATTTGGAAAAAGTAAGTACATAAAAAAGCCAAATTTCAAGGCAGAATCAAAGGGTATTAATCCTGATTTGAACTCCCTATATTGAATAAATTCCATGAATAGAGAAAACATGACACCGTTAACACGCCAAGGAGTGATGAATATATTAATATTAAAATGTAATTCCTTCCTAAAATCACTCTAAGACATATTAAATATATCTTGCTGAATCTAAATTAATCCACAAAAGTGTTTTTTATTTGCCAGAAAGTGATTTAAATTTATCTTTTGACCTGTAAAATGTAATTTGTGCATGGAATAGCTTTTATTAAACTATAAGGCATAACATGTAATATATATTATTTAACTCACCCCCTCCATCACTGAAATTATCCACAAAATACAGCAATAATATTATAACTAAAAACTCAAAAAAGTTGATATTGCATGATATGTGCCATTTAAGAAAATACTATGTTGCATCCTGGAGGGGAGGCTTCAGACTTTCCAACTGTGGGAGCATCAGAGTATCAGACTCAGAAAAGGCTTTGTTGCCAAGTACCGTGTAACACATAAAAAGGAATTTATTTGGGTGACAAGGTTCTCAACACTTAAAAACATACAGTTTACATAAATAGATGCAGGAATATATTATTTGAAATAAACACATGCAAGGTGTAAAGGAAGAGCACTATGGCAGATATTGAAAATCAGCAATATTATGAAATTAAATAGTACAAAGTTGAGATATTCAGTTTGTTTTTTCCTCCAATAGAAAAGTGTCAGTTCGGGACCCGAAAAGGAGAATACCCTAAACTGTAGCTCCTACCTCCTGATCTTATCTAAGATAGGAGAGGAACTCCAGCATGCTGTGCTAAATCCAGACAGCCTTCAGCCTTATGGATATCATTACATGATGGAAACATACAGGAATGATGCCTGTAAAATTAGGGCTTTAGCCATAGGGGAAAAAACTACGAAAAAACAAGTTACACATAAGTAATGAATGGCTAAAGCTCTCCATTATAAAACTAAAACGCATATATTTTTGTTTAACTCTGTGTGGTACGCTGTGTCTTTACGCCCTAGCTCTTTCCTTAAGGCCAGTATTATTTAGATACCACTTCTGCCATGACCTGTGTGCTTACCAATTTGAGGTATTCGCATTATGCCATGATGTGACTTAAACAACGATCAATTTGCCAATGCTAAAAAGCCAAGATATTACATGAGTATACACCAATACAGGGTTTCAATTACTATTACATTTGATAAAATTGAGAAGTACCTTTATTTGGCCTTTAAGGTTTCCGGCAATTTGGTAATCCTATACTGTCCTAATCCCATGATCCTTAGTTAACTTCCATCATGTGGGAGTCCTGAAAAAAAATCTCATTCTCTATTGCCCCATTTACACTACCCCTCTGAAACGGATCCATGCCGAGTTCGGACTGAGCTTGGATCAGTTAACTGTGCCGAGCTTGGTTCCTTATGACCATTTACACATCATGCTAGCTCCGTTCCTTGCCTCCTATCGGCAGTCATCCATACTACAGCTCTCAAGGCAGGAATTACCCCCCCAAAAAATTGTGGCGCCCATAACATTTAGGAACTTATGTGCCTGGATAGCGTTCTCTGCCCAAATTTCAATGAGAGCCTCAGTCTCGGCATCATCCCAGGTCCCACCACGCTCTTTTGATGTAATTTATTGTTAATAGGCGGAGAAGAAGTTCATTTGTTAACAGGTGGAGAGATCTGTGATTTATAAAGCCGGACACGCCTGAAAACCAGCGAAATGAGTCAGCTGACTGTAAATAAGAGATGATGCACACATGCGCTGCTTGGTTTCAGAGAACTGAGCCACAATTGAATCGTGCAGAGCCCTACAATTGAACTAGTACTATATGTAGAGCGGTTCAGTTGTGTCTTGCACGGTCCAGTTCAATTATGTTCTATTTACACTCATCAGTTAGTTAGTTGGTTACTGTCAGACCGTTCTCAGCTCAGTTTCAAAAGGGTAGTGTGAAAAGGGCTTATAGCACAGCATATGCCGCACTGATCACGAACAACTGCTGTCATGTCAACAGTAATATTTCACAGCTAACTGCAGCGTCATAGTTTGAGTTTTCAAACTTTAGCCAGCTGTTGATTGGTGTGGGTTTTCATGTGTTTGTTTAGAGTTGCTTTTCGGGTAAATCTTTGTTCACACAGGTCACAACAGAAAGGTTTCTCTCCTTTATGAATTCTCAAGTGCATGTTTAGATGCTCTTTTCGTCTAAATCGTTGTCCACATTGATCACAACAGAAGTGTTTCTCGTCTGTGTGGATTCTTAAATGCGTCTTTAAATTTTCTTTTCTGTTGAATTTTTTACCACATACGTCGCAGCAGAAAGGTTTCTGTCCTGTGTGGATTCTTGAGTGTTTCTTAAAATTCTCTTTTTGACTAAACCTTTGCCCACATAGATCACAAAAGTATGGTTTCTGTCCTGTGTGGATTCTTATATGTGCGTTCAAATCTCCTTTATCCCTAAATCTCTGTCCACATAGATCACAATGGTAAGGTTTCAGCCCCGTGTGGATTCTCATGTGTATGTTAAAATTCCTTTTAAGGCTAAAGCTTTGTCCACAGTGATCACAATAGAAAGGTTTGTTTCCTGTGTGTACTATAAGGTGTGTGTTTAAATTAGATTTTTGGCTAAACCTTTGTCCACATATATCACAGCAGTAAGGTTTCTGTCCTGTGTGAACTCTCATGTGTGCTTTTAAATTTCCTTTAAGGCTAAAGCTATGTCCACATAGATCACAACAAAAAGGTTTCAGCCCTGTGTGGATCATCTTGTGTCTATTAAAATTGCTCTTTATACTAAACATTTTACCACAGTCTTCACAGGTAAACTTCTTATCTGTCTGGACTTCCCTTCCCGAGTCGACATTTCTCTTATCTGTAAAACATTTATTTCCCAATGAGCTGGAAGACCCTATATCTGAGTTGATTGTGTATTTTTGATTAAAACCATGTTGAACCAATTGTTCAGCAATCTCAAAAGATCTAAATGGTTTGTTTCCGAGGTTTCCGTCTGACTCAGGAGCTTTACTCTCCTCCCAGTCATCGTCCATGTTGTTAGTTTTCAGACTAGTGTCTGTCAAGTGTTGCAGCTCTGAGATGGGATGTTTTATATTCTCTTCCTTTTCTTCCTTTGCAGGGTCTTCAGTCTTTAAGTAAATAGAACCATCTTCACCTTCTTGTATCTTGCCTTTGAAAAAGTCAGGATAAAACTGGGAGAGCAGAGGGGACTGTTCATCATTCCCGCTGTTTATTTGAGTAGCAGTGACTGGAAACCTGACAGGATTGATCTCTTCCTTCTCACTGAGCTGCTCTTCCTTAAAGCTGACACAGACCTCCTCCTGTTCCTCCTTAATGTGGTGGAGCTTTGGGTCATGGTGGTCAGCACAATGTCTGTGGTCTGCCGGAGCTTCTTCTTTAACAATCAGCATCTGCTTAACATCTGCAGGAAATAATGAAACAGATTAAGCATATTAGCCTGGATTGAATAACTTTATTATTGGGTTATATTTAACTTTATGGTATAATTACTATAATTTTCACCATTTCATTTATTATATATTATATTTTTGTTTATTACGTTGGCTAAGTCATGACGAAACCTATTTACTTAATCAGAAGAAGAACATGGTAAAAGCTTTTTAATCTTTTCATCTAGCATCATGTTTTCTACATCTCACTGGTACATGATTGCTTTATATTGTGCTGCAAATTTCCAATTTGTATGCAGAATAATTTGATTTTAAAAAAAGGAAATCAACCCATCAACATTTTCTCAATTTAAATATTTCTTATTGAAGCATCAACATATCAAAATACACTTGATGATAACAATCAAATCCTCAAATAATAATAATTGAACTTTATTGATCTCACATTGGAGAAATTCACTCCTTGTATTTAACTCATCCCCTGGGGGAGCAGAGGGCTGCGATTGTGGGGCGCCCAAGGAACAATCAGGGGTTAAGGGTCCTGCTCAGCGGCCCAGACTGACGGTATGTGGAAGTGGGTTTCAAACTCACGATTCCAAGCTCTATGCCCTAACCACTGGACTGCCACTCCCATATCGAAATCAAAATAAAGAGAAATCTACAAAAGAATTTTCACAAGAAACTTATAGGTTAGGGATGCAGATTATCAAAAAAAAAAAAAAGGTGATCCTGTCAATCAACTAACAATTAAGTGGCAATTTCCTTTAAAAAAAAACAACAACATACATTTTCAAAGTATGAAGCACGTTTATCCAAACATAGAGGCAGCAGTGACCAACAATTAGGGATGGGCTTTGTTTAAAATTTAACAATATTGTTTCAGATAATTTAAAGAGAATTAAACACATCCAAAAAGTGTAATAAAATGACTAAAGTTATGCTTACTATTATTCTGGAAGTTATGGATGATAGTAATCATTTGCTCAAAAAGTATGAACAAAGCGGTGGGTATCAAAACAAAGTAAAAGGAATAAATTGTTAAAAAGGCTGCTGCAGAAGTGCCAGTCCAAATGCAGAGGAAACAAATTCCGTTAGTTTAGGGATACGTAACAGGGCATGACACCGGTGCAGTGCAGTTAAAAGGTGGCACTTATCTGGAGTCCAGAGGTGTTTAATTATGTTGGCCGCCGGCTGCCTTTTACATGATATATTCCTACTGCAAATGCAGCAATGGGCTAACTTCTCATTTTTACAGATCACTTTTAAATGCCACCAGAAACACTTAAGGATTATTTTTTCATTAGAAGGAGCCCAACACAAAAACAGTGCCATCCTGTGGTGACAAGGCCAGTGAAGTAACTCTGCTGGGAAACTGAAATTAGTTGTCACCGGAAAAAAGAAAAAAGCTTCAGCTTAAATTAGCTGCATGATACTTTTTATTTATTTTTTTTACACCTTTTTAGTAGCAGTGTTTGTTTTTTTATGTTTAATTTTACATATTTGACGATTGCATGTCTTTCTTTTTAATGTTTAAATTACCTATGTTATATTTAACACTGTCAAATGTCTTTTTAAATGTCTATGCAAGCTGTCTCTATAAAAGTAACAAATAATCTTTCTGTTTTTTTTTGCATAATTATGTTGTTTTCTTATGTTTAGCTTTGAAAGAAGATGCATTTCTTCATCATGGCATTTATTTGGCAATAAACTGCATCAAAGGCAATGCATAGGATTCAGATATTGATACACTGCACCATTATATTTGTGATAAAAAAAAGCTCCTTTTTTAACTGGGAAAGGTGTTGAACACAGTTTGACACATAGCTGGCCTGACTTAGTCCTTTATCCACCACTCTCTGTGGGAAGCTTGGGCTTTCACTTTCAATTTTCTGTTGCTGCCTCGAAATAATTTTACAAACTGGACGTAAAAACAATTTAGCCATTTGTCCTCGTCTTTAGGCTGAGGAACTGTAGCGAACGCAGTTACATAAGCATTTTTCTTTGTGAATATGAATATGTTTTACTTTTAATCTCCATTTCATATTTGTGTATTTTTTGATTAATATGTACATACTTTGGGGAAATATTGTAATTATGTCAGATGGAGACGTCACCGATTAGGTTATCACTTGATCACATGATGCCCTGGATGGAAAATTCTGCTGGCTAAACAGATGAGGCGTAATGAATACTGAAAAACTAGTCCAGGCATTTGTTACTTCAAAGCTGGACTATTGTACTTCTTTACTTTCAGGAAGCCTATTTAATTCAGTTGAAAACCTTAAGATGATCCAAAACACTGCATCTAGAGTTCATATGAAAACTAAAAAGAGAAACCACACTGGCTTCACATTAAATCCAGGAGAGAAATTCAAATTCAAAATGAGATGAGAAACCCTGGGGTAGAATAATAAAGTTCATGTTTTAGGGGTCTAAATATTATAGTTTTAAACCCAAGCAGCTTGAGAACAGGTGAAAAGAATAGGTGGAATCACCTTTCTTTTTTGCCAACTTCATCCTTGTCTATTAATAGAGTGTAAGCACTTATTGCTGCGTCACACAGCAGAGAGAAGACCAGATAACAGGAATTAAGGACCCACAGCAAAAGATGACCTCTGCGACTTTGAACACAAAACCAAATACAATACATGGATGTGATTATTTTATCTACTGACATCTGCATGTGTAACAGAGTAATTCATTAATTATTACCAATTGATCTCTTCAGACTCAAAATCCAGACTAGGGCTGCAACCAGCAATTATTTTGCAAATCAATTAGTTTTTTCGAATAATCGTTTAATAATCGGACAGCAAAAGATTCCTTAAAGAATCTTGATTAAATCAACGCAGGTGAAACTTAAACTTTTCTACTTGAGGAGTTTTAAATAGAGCATATTGACAAATGAAAAATATATATCTTTTTATCTTAAATGCAAAAATGTTTATTCATTTTTTTTTTTTTTTTTTTTTTTTTTTACAATTTTGGTATAATAACTGCTTTAAGTGGGTTGATCTTTCAGCCAAAGGCATGTTTTAGAGTCTCTATACTCCAATTTTTGAATAATTGTTAATCACGGTTAATCCGATTGTTTCAACCCTAATATAGACGCATATTTGCAGAAAAATACAATCAGTAAAGCACCGGAATTTAGTATAAAATAAAATTAAAAATAATCATTATTTAATAATAAATAAACAACACTCTCTTGACTATTTCTCTTATTATATCCATAAAGTCATTTAATGCTAATTTCGGATGGAAATTAACCTTTCTAAGGAAGCTTGTATCTTGTTGTCAGGCCCAATTTTCCACTCACAATATGGCGGCGGAAACGTTTTTTTATTATTATTTTTTTTAAACTTATACCGAAACATTAAACGTGCTAAGGCGTGTTGAAGGTGATCTACATGTCATCTAAAATATAAAGGAGGTGAAAACATACACACCTAATCTGTGCAGCGGAACGCTGGGGTTATAACCTTCCGAGATTTTGGGATCCAGCTTATATTCTTCGTCCTCTTTAGAAATCTCTCCCTCTGCTGATTTCTGCCACTGTTGGAGCCGCTGCCTCCGCATTTCTATTTATCACTTGTTCAATTGTTCACTGAAAGAGTCATCAGAGCTCAGATCCCATACAAACAGAGAATCCAAACGTCTTTAAATAGACGCATTCTTTTCTCAGTTTCATTTGCCAAGCTAATGTTATAGCGCCACCAAGCGGAGTGGAGTTTATCTGACACCTCTGGTATTACCGTATGTGTTTATTGAAATGGGCTATACCAAAGTTACACAATTTAAATATGTATCACCAATACTAATACCAGTGATTATTTTTGATAAGTTGGGGGCACATTATCAGAAATATGATTTGAGAAGCTGGTTAAAATGGCAACAATACACTACTTCCCTCCTCAGCAGCTTATATGATGAAAAACAATAAAACATGTTGCACTTTCTCTGGTTGAAAACAAAAGTTACATTTCCCTCTAGTATGTTTACCTAATTTCAACAATTTTCTTTTTAACCCTGTAAGTCTGGATAAAGTTAATTCATCCGTCCTGTTCCACCATTTCCTCATAAAAAGGTTAAAAATCCACAATTCTTTCAGATTTCCACTATATCTGCAATCTTCACTTGACTTTACATTTAATGACTGATTTTAATTCCCCTTTTACTGAATGGAACCATTATATAAATTTGATGTAAGGGGTCACTCCTCCAGGTGATCCCTGCCTAAGAGGGTTTTTTGTTTTTCATAGTGAATCATTCAGTTCAGGTGAGGGATGCTGAGTATCCCCTTCATGCAATCCTCTTTGTGGCTCCTCTCTGTATGGGAAGGCTATGCGCAGAGGTAATCTCTCAACGTGATGGGAAATCCCTGAAAGGGATCCTCAGTAAAGAGTTACAGATTCCCCATTAGAGTGGTATGTGCTGCTCATAGATAAATTTTTTGTTTTAGATTGCTTCTTTTTTAATAAAAAGTCATGCAGGGCACTCATGTTCAAGAGTGCACAGTTTTTATGCTAAAAGTTTATGGCAGGAAGAAATTCACTAAATATGCTGCAATAATTATTTCTTGATTGTTTTACAGTGATTACATTCAGTAGGTAGACATTGCAACACACCTCAGCTCCCATCATTCTGCACCAGTTGTTGCCAGTTTACCTGTTCCTGTCTGAGTTTAGGTTTATCTTTAAAATGAACTGCACCTATTTGAATCACATAATCCAATGAAAAGCATTACAGCTCTGTGCGTGAGGGTAGTCAGGAAATTGCGTCTACCTTCAATGTTCCCACCAGCAGTAGTAGTGAAGCCGGTTCAGTCACAGCACCATGGACAGTGCTGGTTGTTTGTTTATAGTAGAAGCCACACAATAGGTGCTTACTGTAATGTGTAGAAGGATAACTTCCTCTATAATGCATCTTAAAATAGAGTGTAGAAAAATTAAATATTTTTTTCCTGGGAATAAATTTATTTGTTAAAATTTCAGTTTGAATTTACATTTTTACAAAGGAAATATTTCATATTTTCAATGTATATGTGTTTATTACTCTTTCCTTAGCTTTTAACTGTGAACATTTTTACCGGATTCAAATTTCTACACATATCAATAAATTAACAAACATAAAACAAACCTTATTTTATTACGAGGATTTTTTTTCTCTGTAGTTTAATGAACAGTTATATCATTAGCAGAATAAAGCAAAGATGTATAACAATATACAAATAAATTGGCAAATTCTCAAAGCAATTAAATCTAGTCTATGTTAAACATAAACTCAATTATAGTCATTTTAGTTATACCTTATAACATTAAGTTCGACCAGATGCACTTTACAAGACAAACAGCTCCAGTTTATATACAGAAATAAAAACTTCAACATCTGATTACATAGACAGACTTCATTCAAAACATAAAATAAATTATTTAAACCTAGTTGGAACAAAACTAAATGATGTCTGCGAACTACGACTTAAATGTATAATTGAAAATGTTTTAAAACCAAAGAAAATAATCACTAGAAAGTGAAGACATATAATGATACCACAAAAAAATAAATAACCTTGCTTAACACATTTTCTGGCCAGTGTGGATTTTCATGTGTCTGTTTAAGTTCGCTTTTTCATTAAAATTGTGTCCACACTGATCACAAGCAAAAGGTTTCTGTACAGTGTGGATTCGCATGTGTGTGTTTAAAGTAGATTTATAACCAAACCTTTGTCCACACAGATCACAAAAGAAAGGTTTATATCCTGTATGGATTCTCATGTGTCGTTTTAAAGTTGTATTAACACTGAACCTTTGTCCACATACGTCACAGCAAAACGGTTTCTCTCTGGTGTGGATTCTCATATGTATCTTTAAATTGGTTTTTACACTAGATCTGTGTCCACATATATCACAACTGAAAGGTTTCTGTCCAGTGTGGATTCTCATGTGCGTGTTTAAATTTGTTTTAGCTCGAAATTTTTGCCCACATACATCACAACAGAAAGGTTTCTGTCCTGTGTGGATTCTTATGTGTGTGATTAAGTTTTCATTTTGGGTAAATCTTTGACCGCAAACGTCACAACAAAAGGGTTTCTGCCCTGTGTGGATTCTCACATGTGTGTTTAACTGTTCCTTTTGGGTAAATCTTTCTCCACAGAGATCACAACAGAAGGGTTTCTGTCCAGTGTGAAATCTCATATGCATGTTTAGACTTTCTTTATGACCAAATTTTTTTCCACACAGATCACAAGAGAAAGGTTTCTGTCCTGTGTGGCTTCTTACATGTCTGTCCAATGTCGCTTTTTGGCTAAACCTTTGTCCACATAAATCACAACAAAAAGGTTTCTGTCCAGTGTGGATTCTTTTGTGTGTGTTTAAATTAGATTTTTGGCTAAATCTTTGCCCACACTGGTCACAACTGAAAGGTTTTTGTCCTGTGTGGATGGTCATGTGTATGTTCAAACTGCCTTTTTCGCTGAAGCTTTGTCCACAAAGATCACAACAAAATGGTTTCTCTCCAGAATGGATTCTCATGTGTATTTTCAAATGTTCTTTTCGGCTATATCTCTTATCACACAGATCACAGCAGTAAGGTTTATCTCCTGTGTGGATTTTCTTATGCCTGTTTAAACTGTATTTTAATATAAAAGTTTTACCACAGTCTTCACAGGCAAACTTTACTCCACCCTTGACTTTTCTTTGCAAGTTCACACTTTTATTCTCTGTAAAATCATCATGTGAGTTTGATGACCCCATTTTTGAAATGATTGAGTCTTGTTGAAGTAAGCGACGGCGAACAAATTGTTCAGCAAACTCAGAGGAGCTAAAAGTATTGTTAATGTCTCCATCTGACTCAGGAACTCTGCTGTCCCTCCAGTCATTCTCTGTATCCTTGGTTTTCAGTTCTGAGTCTAAGAAGTCTTTCAGAACATGGTTCTCTACATCCTCCTCCTCTTTGTCCTTCTCAGTGTTTTCAGTCTTCAAGTAAATGGTACCATCTGCACATTCTTGAATCCTGGTGGATTCTTCTCCATCGTTTTCCCCTGGAAGCTCTGTGACTCTAATTTGGTTGGGATAAAGCAGGTAGGGCACAGCAGACTGGTCATCATCCACCCTCTTTAAGGGAATGGCAGTTACTGGAAACCCGGTGGCATCAGTCTCCTCCTTCCCATTGAGCTGCTCTCCCCCAAGACTGACGCAGACTTCTTCTCGTTCCTCTTTAATATGGTCGGGCTCTGCGTCATGAAGGTCGGTGTTCGGTCTGTGGTCTACAACAGCTTCTTCTTTAACAATCACCATCTGTTTAATATCTGCAAGAAATAATGTGAGGTATTTTGCATATTAGAAAGTATTTGAACTTCAGCCTGGACTAAGTTGCTTATTAACAAAGATATATTTAGGTGCTTTGATTATGAACATTCATTTCTTTTGGATTATGTTTTTTTTTTTTTTTTTGTTAAGTAATGCCAACACTACAGTAGGGTTGTCACTATATTTTTTCTTACTATATGAAAAAGACAAATAATTAAAGGCATGAAAAATGTTTAATGAACATGAAAAACCATGGGCATGGAGCATGCTTTCTCAACATAATCACAGATGACAGTGTGCAAATTAACGTAGAATAAATAACCCAAATATAGCACAATATGATAGAATTTCTAAGGTTTTCTAAAATATTGTAAATTTAATGTGCAAATATTTGAGAAATCTAAAATGAACAAAAGTCATGAACAATAATATATTGTCAACAAGTTTCTCTATGAAATAATCAAATTTTAATGTCTGTACCATATATAACCAACTCATCAACTCTTTCTGTTGAAATATTGAGATGTTTTTCTGGTATTGAGATATTTCACACCAGATGCTAAATACTACAACAACAAAAAACCTTCAAATATAGAGAAATCTAAGTAATTTACAGTATATCTGTAAAGTATTCACAGTAGAGCTGTCAAAAGATACTCAAAAAAGTGTGCAGACTAAAAATCGCTGTATCCTGATACAATGCTGTATTGTATCAGTAATGTATCTGTAATGTATTGATAATAGGGGTGTAAGAAGAAATCAAATCTTTCAAATATTACAATATTTCATTAGATAATATTCTTATTGATTTGAAATACAACCAAATGGATCTTAAATATCTAAAATAATTATAAGCAAACATCCATTTACCTATTTTACTTTTATATAAATCTTAAACCTAACAGACAGAGCGGCAGAGCAACAACTTCTTTCTAGAGTTACAAAATTATATATATAAAAAAAAAAAAAAATCGCATTTTATCATCTTTGCTAATGTATCTGGATATAGCAAAAACATTTTTTTTTTAACTCTAATTATCTTTAATAAACAATTTTGTATGTTTCTTTTTCATGGTATTGAAAATGGTATTGAGCATCAAATATTTTTCTGGGTATTGATATCAAGTTTAAAATGTTTGTATTGCGACAACCCTAATTCCCAATGTCTTATACCAAATCTGTTTTCCACACAGATTGAACTTGGCCTTCCTCATGCCTTCCTTACTGCCAGATTAGTTAGTGGATCTCGACGTTATGTCTGTGTTTTGAGAATCTTTTGGTGTGATTCATTTTGTCAGGGAGTTCCCACTTAAGTTTTTCTGAAAAGGCCATGTAGACTTGTATAATTTTTCTCCCTTAATAATAAAAACATTCACC